ATAATATTATCATCAATTTTGTTTGAATAAACTGGATGGAAGATGAAATAACAAAATTTACATAGTCACATTTATAATAGATGCAGTATTAAAAAATGGTGTCAATTGGATGGTTGACAAATATACTGGCATAGTATCATCATATTGTTTTAGTGAAACTGAATACCAAAATATTCGATGAAAAAATTTTATTTGAAATAGAAATAGTATTAAATTTAATTTCATTCAAATAATGAGTTTAAAAAAAATTGGATTTTTTTTCTTTTGGCTTTCCAATTACTGTAATGCAACGATAGTTTAAAAAAAAGAAGGAATGTGTGGAACCTTCGAATTACACTATCGTTTGGAAGTCGGTGATGCCTTCTTAAGATAATCTCAAAAATGTCTGGTTGAGAAATTCGACAGTTCAGTGTGTAATTCCAGAAATGGTGTTCTATAATGGATCACAAATAAATAGATAGAATTTTGCTGAAGGGACTTTTTGTAGCTGCAAGTGATAATATCCTTGTGATACATTCCGGAATTTTCTAGGTATCGGTGAACAATATTTTGCTAGTTTTTCTTGTTGAGATCTGAGGTTGCATATTGTAACATGATTGGCATAGTGTGTTTCCCAGAAGTTGGTAGAGAATAGTTGACATTTCCAACATACCTTCTCCGGATTCACTGAGTCGATGTATGCATTTTGAATGTAAATCTTATGGATTCATCCAACTGCATGTATCCGTTTCAAAAATAAATTTTTTAGATTTATTCAATTGAATGTATGCGCTTTAAAAAAAGGGAAAAAAAAATAATTTGGGTTTACGCGATGATATCACAATTTTTCTTTTTTTTTTTGTAGTCAGCAATTTTGCTTCGAGAAATATATTTAATTTCGCAAACAAATTGGAAGATGCAAATTTTTTAAAACGAAGTTCAATTCCAATTTAAGTTCACATTTTATTACCAATTCTTATTTCTTCTTTCTCAATATTATATCTGATGTTTCCTTGGTTACACTGTTATGTGCGTTTAATATGATTTGAAATAACGGAGTAAATTGAAGCCGATGAATAATTGGCATTTTCTTTTTCTTGAAAATTAATTTTGCAATAAGTATCATCATGTCAGCATAATTTGTCGAAGTTTGTATGGAGGAAAATAGGAAAGTGAAAGGTAAAGAGGAAAAAGGAAAAAGTAATAGTGGAAATTTAATGGAAATTAAACAATGAAATTTTTCATAGACAAAAAAAAGTCTCAAATTATTCCACAAAATAATTTTGTTCAAATAAAGAATTTAATGGAAATTAAATAATGAAATTTTTCGTAGACAAAATATATATTCATAGACAAAAAAAAAGTCTCAAATTATTCCACAAAATAATTTTGTTCAAACAAAGAAAGATAATAATTAATTAATTAAGAGTTTTGATTTAGAGCAGATAAATTAATTAGTTCTCGAAAAACTGATTAAAAATGAATAAATTAAAATTGTAAATATTAATAGAAAATTGGAAAAGAATAAGATAAAATAATAAATTTAAGAATACATTTATAATTTTTAACGAAAGGAATAACTGTTATTTAAAAAGAAGCAATAATAAAAAAATTACCGAACAATTGGGAAATGTTAGGGTGAAAGCGGGAAGAGGGAGAAGATTGATAAAGAAGGAAAGAAATATTTATAACGGGGGGGAGATACGGGGCGGGGATTGAGGGAAAGAAAATAAATAGTTGGGAGGAATAATTCTTAGCATCGATATTTTTAGTCTTGTGTTATTCGTTCGAAAAGCCACCTTAGCTAACTATGACAATTATTATTTCAATTTCGTTGTCATACTTTCTATGCTAATGTTTGTACCGGAAGTACTATCTCAGTTTATTTTGTTTCTTAGCGTAAGCTTGAGTCAAATTCTCAATTTCTCACTTGTCATAGTTTTTTTTTTTGGTTAAGTTTAAGCTAAATTCTAAGGTATCTCGCCTATGCATTGTTATGGTTGTATTTAAGCTATATTCTAAGAAGGTAGCTATCGATTCTATAGCATAATCATAGTTAAGCTTAAACCAAGCTCTAAGGTATCTCTCCTACATATAGTTATAATTGTAGCTCAGCCATATTCTAAAAAGCTATGTATCGATCCCATAGCATAATCTTAGTTAAACTTAGGCTATGTTCTCAAATATCCATTTCGTATCATAGGATTAATTAAGCCTAAGCTATATTCTAAGGTATCTATTTTATGCATTTTAATTCAAGCAAGTTTTAAGTTATTTATTTAATAAACAACCTATACTTAAATAAATTTAACAAGAAAAAAAGAGGAAAAACAAAGGGATATATTTTTTTTAAATTGTACTATCTGTTTTTTTTTTAAATTGCTAGGCAATAATTAAGTTATTGTTTTCGTAAATTTCAAAAATTAAAATAATTGTTATCAAAACAAACAAAAAAAAAAAGGAAAAAAAACTGTCTGGAACGAAAGAATTTTCATTTTTCCGGTTTTTTTTTTTTGTTATCACATAATATTGGACATTTATATTTTCAAATATTGACCAAAAATATTGCATTAATATTTCGTCCATTCTCTTCGTTAATTTAGATCAAAAAAAAAAGCAAATGTCACGTCACCTGTTTTTTTTCTCTTTTTTTTTGATCTTTACTTATAACAAGCAAGACGAGAAATTCTTATTTGGAAGTAGGAAAGAAAAAAAATACGAATTCTCAAATAAGTTAGTTGTTTTATTGTCAATTTGAAATTTAACAAAATTTCATTTTTTTTTTAACCAAAAAAAAATTAACATTAATTTGCGTAAATTTCAAATAATTATTATAACATAAAAACTAATCATTTCATTTACATTTGCAATAATTATTCAATCAATCATGTTGTAGCAAAAAATTTCCATAATTTTATCACTTTCTTATCAAATAATTTCTGTTTATTTGCATGATAATAAAATATTTTATTTGTTTAAGAAATATAAATTACATACAATAAGGTCTTTTATTTGTCGAACAAACATATATAACGCATACAATAAGAAATACAAAATGGAAACACTTTCTTATTTGGTAAATTTCTATATGATATCTTATTTGTTTAAAAAAAAAAATAGCTAATTACATGTC